TTGTACTCCTAATGTTAAATTTTGGGCTTATTTTACTCCTATTTAGGGCTAATACCCGAAAAAAGTATCAAACTTTTATCATTTTTGAATACAGGTGGAGATTAGCTGGGGACATCTAACCCTCTACCCACTTTCGTGCTCGTCCATGCCATATTACTTGGTACTATGAGAGTCTCCTCGCGGATAGAAAAGCTGATTCTGACTTCCCATGTTTTTAATTGGACTCGATTGAATCCCAAATCATATCAGATCATACTTAATCAAATCAGATCAAACCAAATCAAATCAGATCAGATCAAATTTCAAGAGTTATAAAAATACACAGAAAAACATTCACTAGTTCAAACCAGAGCAGATCTAACAAGACTTAAAAAAAATATCGGACTAGACTCAATCAAACCATAAAATTACCGTAGAACTAAAAACATTCTTGATTATCACCAGTTAATTAACCTCATACCTCGCACTCCATATTATGAAGTCATAAACTACACTCCACCTCTATACAACATATAGAGTAATGAAAGGCCTTCGGGGATGAGGCCATGAGGGTCCAACGTCTTCGCTTCTAACTCGGTTAAAAGCGTTAAAAGGTAGTGACACACTCATGAGCAAATCTAGGTGAGGGCCAATCTAGGTTCCGAGCCATCCCAAATTAAAAAAATGCTATAAATTTTAAGGTAAAAATTTTGTGTCTTTTTTTCAAAATTATTCTTGTACCGGCTCAGTCCGGTCCACTGGACCGGACCCGCCCCTGGACACATTGTTCAAAATATTGGGTAGTCAGCCATTAATTATTTTATAGCTATTTTTACTCCATCTGGCCAAACTGACGTTCCTATTTTATAGCCACGAACCGCCCTATCTTGATTGACGATTGATATCCAAATCTTGCATATTTCATTGAATCTGAGCGTCGATGACAATGTCCTGGGAGGAGGGTGGTAAGACCGGCATCAAGGGTGCTTAAGGGTCATTGGGTGGATAGGAACCAATGACCAGGGTTGTGGTGTGGGGTAGGCTAGGATTGTGGGGTGGGGTGAGACATTGGGAATGAAGGGGCTATGGGTGTGGGGCATTGGTTGTGCGGGGGATGGGGTCAGCATTGATGGTGCGGAAGTCACTGACACCATCCGCTGCTCCGGGGTCACTGTCGCAGTCAGCAGAGGAGTAACTACAGTTGTCACGTACAATATCACTGGGGTCACAGTCACTATAACTGGCCACGGTGGATATCACTAGCTGGGATGATGTCAATGTGTGAAAGTTGTTGTGTCCACTATTTGCAATTGAAGAAATAGATAACTAATGATACATCACTGTGATGGTTACTGGTGGCGAGTAACCAGGGTGGACGAGTCACCGGGAAAATAGGTCACTGGGTTTCCGAGTTGTCACTAGTGTTTTTCTAGGTGTCACTGGGTAAGTGCCACTTTGTCATGTTTTAATAGGGAGCGGCGGGTGTCATTGGGTCTAGGGCGTAAATTATATCGTGGGATCGGCCCACCATGCGTATGGTGTGCTGATCGCAAAATGACATAGTTTTTTAATTAAATAACAGAGCACCGACTGTAACAACATTGCAGGAGAGCAAATAGGTGCTGGAAGAAGAAGACTTGATCTCTCTGATTAGAAAGCAACGGTGGTGATTGTGGTGATTGCTCGAAGAAGAAACGTGTTCTCCCTGGTGTGTTGTATCCAGTGGCGGAACCAGCTTCGTGATCTTGGAGGGGCACATTACCTCAGAAAGCTCGACTCTTTACTACATTTAGAAATCTGTGTACATAATCGATTCATATGAATTCTTTGTCAAACTTGAGACTGACTATCCACAACCACAAAAAATAACAAGCTCAGTACATGGCTATAGCCCAAAATACACAATAGCAAAGTCGCTACGTCAGTTACCTCAAAACAATAATGCTCTCGATCAGGGGCGGAGGCAGAGCACTAGGTCGGGCTGGTCCGGTACAAACAATATTTTTAGAAAAAAAATTACACAAAATTTTTTACCTTAAAATTTAAGCCATTTTTAAAATTTGAGGTGGGCCATGGCCTAGGTTGGCCCACCCCTAGCTCCGCCCATGCTGTCGATCAGTCGCTAGACCTAGTGGTCGCCAGCGTTATTCACTTATTCCGGCCTAATTCCGGCGAATTCCAAAGAAACCCTCTCAATGTAATCAACCCTCCAAGCTTCAAAGTTAGTAGTCGAGCTCATAAATATATTACTCCCTTTGTTTTGTTAAGATTTTCTTACATTTTCTTTTCAGCCTGCCTCATTAACATTGATCAATATCAAATTTGATTGTGGTTCTAAATTATTTTTACATTCAAAAGTTGATTGTCGAGCACCCTGTATAATACTCCCTCCGTCCCACAATGAACTTCACAGTTTGACCTACACACATATTAAGGAAATAAACTTACCATGGGGTAAATTTTACTGTTTTGACACTGTTTGGCACTGTTTTGCACTGTTTCGACACTGTTTTGCACTGTTTGACATTGTTTTGATGTAGATTAACTTTCCATTTAAGGAAATGAGAACTTGTTTCTGGGACATCCAAAAAAGGAAAGTGAGAAGTTCATTGCGGGACGGAGGGAGTATATATGTATAGTCATTCTCCTGTCCAGCAGCCCCCGGTCCGAACGTCATCCGAACACCGCTGTTTGGGGAGGTTCCAGGTGGAATTTTTTCATGAAATATTTTGAGCATGTTCCTCATCAAGTCTAGTTTATCCATACCAAATTTCAGCTTAAAATTCGATCGAGAAGGTAGTCAAACAATTTGTTGAAGTTAACTGCGCCAAATTATACATAGAAAAACGCAGTTAACTTCAAAAATTTATTTTACTGCCTTCCCGATCGAATTTTAATCTGAAATTTAGTATGGATAAACTATACTTGATGAGGAATATGCTCAAAAAGTTTCATCAAAACATTCCACCGAGAACCTCCCAAAAAAACGGTGTTCGGACAGCGTTCGGACAGAAACGTGCTGGACCTGAAAATTTCTCTCTATATATATAATAAAAAGAAATCTGCAGAGCCGCAGGGTCACAAGCACCCCCAAGCTCTAGTGTAGTTCCGCCCCCGGTTGTATCCAGGAGTCATCCGTGCTCCCCACCTTTGACTGATTAGAAAGCAACGGTGATGGGTGTTTGCTGGCCAAGGATGAGGAACATTGGAGTTGATAAGAAATCTTCATTTATATATATACGGAGTATTATACAGTTTAGACAATTTATGTTTTGGATTTGCGGCTCAAATTACATTTGAAAATACATGCAATTACATCAGAATTTGCCTAAAGTTACATATATACTATGTATTAGCGTGAATTACATGTCAACTTTCCTCAGCAAATTACATCCTACTTACAAGAGATTTACATTTTACATATATAATGCGAGTTACACCGCAATAAATGAGAGTTACACGACATAATAAGTCCTGTTATTCAAAGAAAAATCATTTTCATAAAAAATCATTGTTATAGCCTTGATATTTAAAACAAAACATATACACTATTTATGTAAAAAAATTGGGCAATTAGACCTTTTTCATTGAAATTAATACTTTATTTCTTATATTATGTATTGAACAAGTTACACTTCGACTAGGCTTGAGTTACATTCATCGATAATGTGAGTTACATTTCTTTACACGTGAGTTACACCATGCTCCAATCAATTATATATTAAAATCGGGATGATATTTTAAAGTAAAAACATGATAACATTTGTGTAGATGTTCTAAAGTCATATGTGTAAAAATTGCACCATTGTATGCAAATACAACATTATTATGCGTCAAAGGTGCATGAGATTGCTAACAAAATGTATAAGTTGATACAATCCATCCATGCTTTATTATAAAAATCATCCCACGGTATACCAAATAGTAGTTTCATACCATGTTTGAATGAGTTTCCAGTTTTAGAAATTAATTATTTTTTGAAAACAAAAAAGAAAAAGGTTAAAAGGGCCACACCCAACCCGAGTACATCCATGCCCCCTTCATATATATTCTCAGTCCGCCACTGCACCCACTAGACTACTAGAGCAGTAGAGCGTCTATAATAATCTTTATATTACAAATAGTCCTTAGAACTTAAATAAAAAGGTCAAATAAGCCTTTATATAGAAGACTCTGTCCGGCCGTCGTCATTTGGCTCATTTTCCAGTGGAGTTTTTTGATGAAACTTTTTGAGCATCTTATTCATTTAGTCTAGTTTACGCATACCAAATTTCAGCTAACAATTCAATCGGGAAGGCATTCAAATGAATTCTTGAAGATAACTGCGCTTTTAACTGCGCAGTCATCTTCAAGAATTCATTTGAATGCCTTCCCGATTGAAGTCTTATCTGAAATTTGGTATGAGTAAACTAGACTTAATGAATAAGATGCTCAAAAATTTCATCAAAAAATTCCATCGTAAGCCATCTCAAATAGTGACGTCCGGACAGAGCCTGCTATATAAAAGCTTATTTGACCTTTTTATTTAAGTACGAGGGCCTATCTGACCCTTTTCATGCAAAAAAAATAAGCCACAACCATCTAAAGAGAAAATTACCCTTTGTATGACAAACTACGTTAATGCTAAAAGGGATGTACGTAAAAACCAGATATAGTTTCTTTTTCTTTAAGGTAAAGATCCTACAACCTCTAATATAAGCTATCGGGTATGTCTGATTGAACATATCCATCAACTCCATCCATTTTTTGGATAAAGACAGCTTCTTCTTCTTGAATTCTTGACTAACCCAGCTTGAGTATATGGAGGATTTCCATAGCCTCTACGTCAGTCAACTATCAATATCCTTTACGAAGTTATAAGCTACATTTACTGTCTTTATCAACGTAATTTGCTCACAAGGATATCCCCATTGCCCATTGGCCATTGACGACTTCCCTTTATGTCCACCTAATCAATATTTTACTCATATATTATGCACGAAATTCACCCTCCTCTTAACAAACTGATAATCACAATGTGCCTGCAAGCAACAGTGACCCTTTCATCTCCACATTGCATTCCTAGCTAGCTCGGTTCTATAAGAACATATTCACATTTCTTCTTTTCGATCATTAATTACCACATTATATTCATACATCTCAACTACCAAAGTACATTTCATTTGTGTCTTCATAAATGGCAAATAGAAGCAGCAGCCTCTTGCTTCTGTTCTTCGTGGTTCTCCGTCTTCTTCTCCGTCTTCCTGCCGCTAAGGCTATCACTAAAACCTACCAATTTGATGTGAGTTTATTCCACAGGTCTATGATGTTATATACACCTTTTGCATTGGTCCCTATTTTTTTTTTCATTACTACTCATATTGTTAACGTAATTCTTTATATTATTTGAGTTTTTGTACACCATCGCAAATCGTAATCATATTTCAAACTTTACTGTTCGGTATATTTTGAGAAAAAGATCGAATTTGAGGCTGTAATAACGTGTTAATCTCATATGAGACACTAAGATTTCGAATGAATCAAATTGAACACTTTGAATCTCACATAAGTCAACGTTTCAAATGAACCAAATAAACACGGGTTTAAATTTTTTCATAATTTATGAACACTGGCCTAGCAAAGGTTTTTCATTTTCAGTCAATGAAAACCATTAGTACGTACTCTCCTTTCTTTATTTTCTCTACCTATATAATTGATGTATTTAGATTTAGAATGTATTATTGGATGTTCCAATTAAGAAAATATCATAAATATAATAATGTAACTAATTTTTTTTTAATTTTGCTAACTCATTTTAATAATTTGATATTTTCCAAAAGTTCTATCTATAAAGATCGTGAGAAATGAAAAATCCAAAATATATTTTCAAATTCTTAAATATGAGATGTCCTTAATTAAACTATCACATTGTATATTCTAAAGTTAAATACATCAATTACGATAGTTTATTAACATTATAAAAGAAAGGAAAAATCATGCTAACAATTTCTATTGTCGAAAGAAGACAAACGCGAGTGTCCAAAATAAAGAAAAATTGTTAGAATTGTGTTTCTTTTATCATTTGAAGCATTAGTGATCAATAAGAAATTTGACATGTATCTCTAGTATCTAATTTGATCACCATGAAACTTTAGTGACCAATGTGAGATTCTCATGTAATCATAGTATTCAATTTGGTCATTTTGTCATATATTTTTAATATAATTTATAAATGCATAATTCCGATTAATAATACTAGTTGAAACATTATTAGCAATAAATTAATTTTAAGAACATTTTCACTTGGACTTATTTCAATTTCAAATCAAACCAAACCAGACAAGTCCAGACTAATTACAATAATAAGATATTTCAAAAATAAAACATTTTTAATTAGAAGATAAGTTCATATATTCTATTATTTAAAAAGTTTCTATAAGCTTCTAGTTATATATTTGGTACGATAATAATTTAGAGCTTTTTAAAAAATAAAATCTTTTTGAGATGCTACATTGAGTAAGTTCTAGGGGGAAGTTTGTAGCTTTTAAAAGTTATTAGTCACTTGTTATACCAAACGGAACTATTGATCAAACAGTTAAAATCTTTTTCTTCTCATCCTTTTCGGTCAGTAAAAGCTCGCAAAAAAATTCCAGCTATTCATGCAGAACATAACTTTAAATAGATCGGACTTAGGTAAAAAGACATACTCCGTATAACATAATACGTACCTTTTACAGTTTGTATCAGGAGTTTGTATGAAAAATTAATTTCGTGCCAGCTAGTAGGTAGCAACGTGCGACATATCTATTTTTTTATTGGTACGTAGTTAGTAGATAGGTACCGATGTGAAATTTCAGGGTTTTAGTACAAGTTAGGGGTGGACCGAGTCCGGGCTTGAATTTTAGGACATGATACGGGCCAAACAGGATGATTTAAAATATGGGCAGGTGTCAGTCTAGGCCCGACCCGGGACTGATACTATTTGGACCCAAACCGATACTTGACCAAACTGAGTCAGTACCACGCATTAAATAGTTAGAATAGAAGTTACTCCAAATAGGACTAAAATTATGGTCAAAACTCAAAATATGACTTACTATGTTTTTCTTTTCAAAATAGGACCATATTAGTCCTATTGGAAACATTTCTATTTTTTCATTCCATTCTTACTCTTCCTTTAAATATGAGTTAATTAAATGTTTAATTCATAATAATTCAGAAAAAAATCAAAAATTCGTAGAAAAATAAATAAAAAAAAATATACTCCCTCCGTCCCATATTTATCTTCGTAATTCGGTTTACGATGTTTGACTGACGATAAAGCAACTTGATCCTTGTTCACACTTAGATTATTTTAGTAAACTAAATTTACATATTCAGAAACTACATTAAACCCGCTACAAAGGCTGATCAAGAAAATTTAAGTTTGATAAAAATTTGATATATAAAGTAAAAGATTAAGAGTAATTTGAGTTGACCGTGTGAATAGTAACTATGAAGATAATTTTGGGACGGAGGGAGTAAAATATTTATAAAATAAAAAATTAAAAAAATTATTTTTTTAATTTTTTTGAAAATTAATAAAAAATAGTAAAAGTCCATTAAAAAATTACAAAAAAATATGGATGCCTTTCCCACCACCTCTACTACCTCCCTGCACCACCATCTCCGACCGATGAAAAAAATGTCATTTTCCCTAAAATCTGCCATTTTTTCTGAAAAATCCAAAAACATGGCATATTTCTCTTTGAGAATGCCAACATTTTCATTGTTTTCTGCCATAAATATGGCATTCGTAATGAACTTGGAATTTTTTTTCCCCGAGTGAATGGAGGTGGTGGTGCAGATGCGGCAGAGGCAGCGGTGATTTTTATTTTTACTTTTTGAGTTTTAAATTTTTAATTATTTTTTTATTTTTTGAAAATAAATAAATAAATTATTATCGAAATATTTTTATTAATTTTTTAGTATTTTTTACAAATTTTTATTATTTTATATTATTTTATTGTGAATTAAAACATTTCAATAGCTATAAGGGTATATTTGTCCAAGACACACATAATTAGTACTATGAAAACATAGTTTACTTTTTTGTCAGAGGCAGCGGTGATTTTTATTTTTATTAATTCATATTTAAAAAGAAGAAAACTTTGACCATATTTATTAATTCATATTTACTCATGTAGTTAGTGTAGTTATGACATAGCCACATAGGTATCGTATGAGATCTTCTTAAGTTCATCTCAAAATGTAACTTCAAATCATCGCCGTCACATAAATTTAATGATATGTAATTAATTTAAATACATAAAACCTTAATCAGGTAATACCTTCAACAACTTTTATGGAAATATCTTAATGTATTGATACCTTAAAAATAGTGTAATTTTAAAAATTAATAAATGTTTTTGGGGGGAGCTAAAATGAATTAATGTGGAAAAAATCATTCCATGCCCTGTCCCAAAAAATACTTCCATCTTCGATTTGACACGTCTATTAAAAAAATGAGAATAAAAAGATAACGTATGATTGTGATTAACTAAAAAAAATAAATGAATATTAGTCACACAAATCTTTCTAAAATGGTAAGTGGGAAATTTTTTGTGATCCCCCAAAATAGTACGGATAACATATGAATGTGTTTTTTATTTCATAAATGTGAATTTATAGTGTTAAAATATATAATTCAAAACACATTGGGCATTAATAAGGATGAAATTATTATCTATGCTTCAATATTTTAAATAAATAAAATTAAAAAATAAGTTTATAATATTAATTGCACACTAAAAATGATTATAATATTTAAATTAGTTACTTAACACTATTAATTTATATTTGTCAAAAAAAAACATATGATCAACTTTTTATATAAAGTTTGGGGTATTTATATTAGTTACACAAATTTAAGGTGTTTACCTCACATCCCAAAGTTTGGGGTATTTAAATTATTTCCTTATTAAAATTCAGGCAATTAGCTCACAAGATGATTGCAGATTGCTTGAATCAAGTTACAGCAAATTCAATCCATTAAACATAGTATTTCAATTATTGAAGCACTTCAAATCCGTTGGGGGGTAAAAATCAAGATTTGAAAATGAAATGAACCCACACGGCAAAACTCAAAACCAAAATTTTGCCATTGTTTGCAGATTCAAGTGAATAATGTTAGCAGGCTGTGCCATGCCAAACCTATCGTGACAGTAAATGGGATGTTCCCAGGGCCTACCATTTATGCAAGAGAAGGGGACAGGCTTCTTATAAATGTCACAAACCATGCACAATATAACATTTCTATTCACTGGTATACAACATAAGATGATGACTCAATTCATTGTGTATGTGTAAAAAAACAATCATTTTCTAAAACTGGATTGTAACAGGCACGGCGTGAAACAGTACCGCAACGGTTGGGCAGATGGACCGGCTTACGTAACACAATGCCCAATCAAGACGGGGAATAGCTATGTCCATGACTTCAATGTAACAGGACAAAGAGGAACCTTGTGGTGGCATGCCCATATTCTTTGGCTAAGGGCAACCGTCTATGGTGCAATCGTGATCATGCCACAACAAGGAACCCCTTTCCCTTTCCCTCAACCTGACAGAGAAGAAGTTATTGTGCTCGGTCAGTTACCCCTTAATCTTTTACTCTCTCCTTTAAAAAAGGACTGTTGCAATGTCCCCAAAAATAGCAGTCTGACTGGGCTAGAAGCAACTAAATGTTCATGGAAATACTTAGAGCCTGTTTGGTAACACTTAAATTGGCTGAATTGTCTGATTTTGCTGAAATTTATGAAGTTCTGACTGAAGTGGTTGTATTGGCTGATTCTGCTGATTTATGCAAAAAGAATTAAAATATTTGTTATTAATGAATAAAATAAAAAATTATATGAAAAAGTAGCTAAAATGATACTCTACAGTGACTTCAGCCAATACAGTCAGAAAAGTAACTTTAACCTTACTTTTTCTTATTATTACATAATTCAGCGCGCGATATCAAAGTTACGTGTTTGGTTAAAAAGCTGAATGATAAGCCTGATAAGCCGAAAAAAGAGGTACCAAACGGGCACTTAATGTGCTCATAAATAGCCAGGAAAAAGGTCACGACAAGCCACATGAGATGAATTTATTTTTTTTAAACCAGCAGTTTAAATTTTAAAATAGGACTCTATGACAGATGTGCCACCATAAATTAAAAAGTTATTATACTCACATAGGACTCTTTTTGGGATGAATGTAGTACTACATATAGAACCAGCAGAAACGTGACTCACTTTTTCAGACCGAGGAGATAGTAATAATCTTTGTTCAAAATATCATATGATCGACAAGTGTTCATACCACATGCTGCCTTGTGTTGTTAACTACACAGGAGAATGGTGGAACGCAGACGTTGAAGCAGTGGAGAATCAAGGGAACAAAATGGGGTTACCCCCAAATATGTCTGATGCTCACACGATCAACGGAAAGCCTGGACCTCTGTTTCCATGTTCTGAGAAACGTATGTAAGCATTATAGAGTGAAGCAACTTTTCCCATGGGGTAAGGGGGATGAATAGTAAACTTAAACTCAGAAACTCACCTTATGTGTCCTTTATACCCAAAAAACACTGAGTGGTAATTCTTTGCTAATAGACTAGGAATGTAATCATCTTTCTTCTAACTACAAAAATTTCCACTGCAGTCCCATGATTATTTGGTCATCTTTTCACAATTGCTCTTCAAATTCCATGTTTAAAGATTTGTATGACTTATTTGGTCAACTTCCATACAACTTTAGGATGAACTTTGCCAGGGAAGTGACCAAAAAGGAAAAATGGCTATAAATTCATAGTCGTGCACCTAGGGATGTCAAAAAAAACCGACCCGCAATGACCCGCCCTGGCCATTTGGGGCGAGTCCGCCCTGCCCCGTCTTGCAAATGGGGCAGGTCCGGGTATTAGAATTGACCTGTGCCGCCCCGACCCGCTCAATATATAAGTATACATACTTTTTCTTTAATTATACTACAAATATACTTCAACATGTGTGTCAACAATAAATCATAAATGCTTTGATCTTATAATATATTAATATATATTAGAATGAGATGAACGATGGATTATCAATGTCCTCTTTATACGAAGTATATAGCATTTTAATACATATATTCAATGATTAATATAGTTAAATAAATCAATTTTTCCTTAATTTTGGAAATATTTAGCGTATCATGAATTTGATTTAATATATTAATTTTTAATTATTATTTAGAGATAAACTTTATGTTGATTCAATTGGTAACATCTTCCCACAAATAAAAATACATAGTAGCTAATTAGGTTACGGCGGGTCGGGGCGGACCCGCCCCGCATGGGACGGACCCGCCCCGCATGGGACGGGTCATAAGTCAACAAGTTTGGACCCGTGCAGGTCACGGGGCGGGGCGGGGCGGGTCAGTCACGGGGCGGGTCTGGGTCTTGAAGTACCCGCCCCGCCCCGACCCATTGCCATGCCTACGTGCACCCAAAGAGGAGAGCAGTGTCTGAGTGATCAAAGTAAGAATGAGCAATCTAATAGCTATGGCCTGTGGAACTAAAAGTGAAAAGTACTCTTCTAAAAAAACCACATGGTCAACACCTAAGCATTATACACTTACATTAGTTTCTTATGTTTATTTTCGAATTGACCACAACTAACCATGCCCAAGCTCCATCTGACACTCAATCTGGGGGGCTTGGCTCCCCTAAGTTTTTCTTAGTGTGTATATATATCTGTGTGTGTAAATGTGTTCAAATGTGATGCTTTGACCCTCATTAAATTTTAAAATCCCAGCCCCTATTATATAATATTTTGGTGGTTAGTGCTTGTTTAGAACAGTGGGCATTGCCCATTTTGAAAATCAGGTTTCCAACAACTACAGCCATACACATTTTCTTTTGTGGTGTGTATGTGCACAGATACATATGCAATGGAGGTTGAGCAAGGGAAAACATACCTTCTGAGGATAGTCAACGCTGCCCTAAATGATGAACTCTTTTTTGCGCTATCTGACCACAACATGACAGTGGTAGAGATAGACGCTGTCTACACTAAACCCTTCTCAACAAATGCCATACTCATCGCCCCAGGCCAGACAACAAACGTGCTCGTCCGTGCCAATCAAATCCCAGGCAGGTATTTCATGGCTGCGCGGCCCTTCATGGATGTTCCAATAATTTCGGTAGACAACAAAAGCGCCACCGCCATATTCCAATACAAAGGCATTCCGAACACAGTCGTTCCAAAACTCCCACTCCTGCCCGCCCCCAACGATACCGTTTTTACCACAGCTTTCAACAGCAAGCTTAGAAGCTTAAACACTAAAAACTTTCCCGCAAAAGTTCCCTTAATAGTGGATAGAAAGATGTTTTTGACAATCGGTATGGGAGCGAATCCCTGCCCAACCTGCTTCAACAGTTCTAGGTTGACAGCTTCTTTGAACAATATTTCATTTGTGATGCCCAAAACAGCCCTTCTCCAAGCCCACTACTTTGATATGAAGGGCGTGTACACCACGGATTTCCCAGACAAACCGCCAACTCCATTTAACTATACAGGTGCACCATCAACAGTGAATCTCAAAATGGCTCGCGGGACGAGGGTTAGTAAGATTGCCTTCAACTCCACTATTGAGTTGGTTTTGCAAGACACTAATCTTCTAACAGTTGAATCACACCCTTTCCATCTCCATGGCTATAATTTCTTTGTTGTCGGAACTGGTATTGGGAATTTTGATCCTGTTAAGGACCCTAAAAATTATAACCTCATTGATCCTCCAGAAAGAAACACTGTTGGTGTTCCCACGGGTGGTTGGACCGCTATTCGATTCAGAGCTGACAATCCAGGTATCCCAATAATCCTCTAAGAGTCAATAGCTGATTTAGTCCCTCGACTATGCAATGTAAAAATTTAAGTTTGGTACATACTCCTTCCGTCCCTTAAAACTTTGTCAGTTTTACCGGTAAGGAGATTAATCAAGTAAAAAATGTGTGGTTGAGGTTTGTACAGATGAGAGAGAATTAACTAGAATTAACTGGAACCACAAATTTTTTACATAAAAGGAAAAGTGGCAAAGGTAGTGAGACATCCAAAAAAGGAAAGTTGACAGAGTTTTAAGGGACGGAAGGGGTATTTCTTTAAAGATATCCAAATTACATAGTTAAGGCTCATTTGAGACTTGAATTGGGTCTAGACTAGGTCAACAAAAGAAGAATTCCTTCATTAAAATATGAGAACCCCTCCTAAAATGAGAACTCCTTATAATGACAACTTTTAATATCAACCTTTCATGTATTGCAATCATTGGTTATGATTCACATGGGGTCGTATTGATAATTACTCCAAATTGAAATGGGACTTTTTTTGCAATTAATGCTAAATAATTACAGAAATGACACCTTGTCATTATTATCCATTGATTGTAAAAATGAATGATAGAGATTAGAAGTTCTCATTTTAAAATGAGTTCTCATTTTAATAGAGGTTCTCATAAGAACCCTCCCCTATACTGGCTATACACATACACACACACATATATGAGGACTATATTGGATTCTAACCGATCCTGAACTCTTTTGGGACCAAGGCTTGGATGTTGTTGTATGAGGACTAAAGTGGTCCAAATTTTATAGTCGAGGACCAAATTGAGTCCCAAAAAAGTTGAGTATCAAATTGAGTAATACACTTGGTGTATAGTCGTCTAAATCGGGTATTAACTCAATTATTAACTACAGAAAGGTAACTATCAGATCACATGAAATCTATGAAACAAGGAATCTCCCAGGAAAACAGTGTGTTTCTGTTTCCGCAACTCTACGCAAACTCTTTGGAACTCTCAAAAGTCAAAACATGTTTTTCTATTAAAAGATGGTGTTCCCCATTTCCTGTTTCCCCATGTTTTCGTGCAACCTAGCATGAAATTGTTACGTTTTGGAATATATGTGCAGGGGTGTGGTTTTTCCACTGTCACTTGGAGATACACACAAGTTGGGGGCTGAAAACAGCATTTCTAGTGGAAGATGGACCGGGTTCAGATCAAAAGGTTCTGCCTCCGCCAAAGGATCTTCCACTGTGCTAATGATAAATCAACAACACCTTATGTACGCCTCATCATGAAAAAAAATCACACAAGGCATCTTGATTCTTGAGGTTGAAGATCCCCAAATTTGAGACAAATATATCAAAGGTTATTATGCATGTATGCAGTTAAGGAACATTGTGAAAAACAATGTATTTAATTTGTAATTAACTTCAAATTGTAATAAAAGCCCTAAATGAAAAGCAATTGTTTTCATCTTTTGATTTCAGATTTATAAATTGGTAAATGTGAAAAATCATATTGGTTGCCTGGGTTTAAGTGTAGTATTTAGGTGTCAGGCAATAGAAACTTGACACCTGTCCATTTGATGGTTTGGGCCTTTGGGGCAACCCGCTAGGTGGTCATCTGTTTGGACCCATTTTTTCATCTATTCAGTTGTCTAGTTTGGCTTCAGCTGAGGGGTGTGTCAAGTATCCCATGTTAAAATCTGATGTATATATCACGAGAAACAAGGACTGAGCAAAAAATGTAAAAGAAGTTTAGGCAATCATCCATTCCACTACTATAATTGGTTAGGCAATAGAATGTCTAATAAGTGATAACACACAATTCACCTTGAGAACAATACAACTTTATAACTAACCATCTGTATGAGTTACCTGAGCTTCTTGGCTTCTACCTCTCTCAAAGCAGTGGAACTCAGTTTGTCTAAACTCGATTCTTCGAAGAGCATATCCACAACTTCAATCTGCACAATAAATTCAAAAGAAAGACTTCGAAAGTAAATATTAAATGGAAACTAAACGATATAATAATGTCTCTTTATATATATAGAATAGCCCCGTAGATCAGACCTTGAGTTGTGAGAGACCTCTCTCCGTCCTCTTCTTATTGACAGAGAAACCTCCGGGTAGTGTCTCCTTGCTAATCACAAAAACACCCATAGCAATGCCTTTATGAATTGCAGTGCATGACTAGGTAATTTAAGAGCCACAGAGGAAGAATACTCCCTCTTCCTGTCCCCCTCTCTCCCCCACAGAATTCCAACTTCAAAAGGTGGTTTTCATCAAGTGAAGCTAATTTTTCATGTAATTCTAAACAACAATTAAATATGATAAATTCAGTTAAAAAACAAACAAATTCTAAAATATATACACGTTTCTATAACATCTATGAGTTTACCTTTGAATAGTATAAAAATTGTACCTCAACCAAAAGCAATGTTTAAAAAGACGCTTTCAAGCGTTGAAGTGATTTGCATTTGGAGGCTAGAAAGTGTTTGGCTATTAGGGGTGGAATGTTAGCTGATATCCAATTGTATCAACAGATTGATACTAGCAGTTTGTGTTAGCTGTTTTGAACGGCCGCTATGATTAGCATTTGATAACTTAGTGTTTATGATTAACTGTTAAACGCAAATGACTATTAAGGATATGAATAAAAACGTATATGAATTTAACTTAGCTTTTAGTTTTAAATTTTTTTGAAAAAATTCGAAAACGTTTTTAAAAATACATTTACTATTATTTTATATAATTACTACAATTACTATTTTTAACACATATACATGTACGCGTGCATGCACACATGCATTTTTTATTTAGTATGAATGTTTTAAATAAAATCATCTTTATTAGTTTTTTAAATAATATTGCAAAGTAGCAATATTCATCAAAGAGGCTTTTTTATTTTGGTCTTTTTAAAATAATATTATAGAATAATATATTTTGGTCTTTTCGCATCAAACAGCCAAATCAAAAAATTGTTTACCAAACACTAAAATAATTATTCGACAGTCAAACAACCAAAGTAAAGTAGGAAACCCAAAAAAAATGGGTTATAGGTTGTTTACCAAACACCCTCGGTGAAGCCTCAATCTGATTGAGGCATGCTGCGTAGGACGCAAACTTCATATAGAACTTCTAAAAATCACAATTACTAGTAATCCCAGCTACGACCACTCTGCTTGAAAGAATCCTATTGATTATTTCAAAATAATCTTGGCATCAAAATACTCTAATGACTTGTATTAAGAGATAATTATCATAGATATACTAGAACTTCCTCTCTTTCACAATCTATGACCTTTTTAGTTGTTTTCCAAAAACAATATTTATTTGGTAATATTTAAAGAATATATGTAGTATTTAATAAACTTCCGAACCCTTAACAATTGATCCACAAAAGCGCCGATTTCTTCTCTCTCAGTTAGCGAGCCTCTAATTAGGGCTTACTTAATCTGGGCTCCATTAGGGTTTCTGTTGAGTCTCTTACTAGAAAGCTATTTATAACCCTTGTTAGGGTTCATTCTTGCTTATCTATGAATAAAATTGGAGTTTAGCATTTTGGCTCTGGGCAATGATTTCTATCGTTGATTATTTTGGGAAAACGGATTATTCCGTTGATTTTTATTTTTTGTTCTCATCAATTAGTCCAACCTGCCCGGATCCCGAATCAAAAACTGGATGCGCAAGGAGCGACGCTGGACGCGCAAGGAATCCAACTGGCAGAGATCGCAGCCTCCTTGGCTGCGCTCACAAAGGCTCTCGCGCCGCCATCGGCGGAGGAGCATTCATCGGCAGTGGCTTCACTCGACGCGGCAGCAGCATTCTCGTTCGGAACTGGACTGTGCAGCACCTATCTCACAACGCTGTCCTTCTTTGACAGAGAAGACGCGGTCGGCTGGGTTGATAGGGCTGAGCAACAGTTTGAACTGAACTATACTCCGGCGGGAAAGAAGGTGGAAGCCGCTGTAGTTACGATGAAAGGGTCAGCCCTATACTGGTTAACCTGGTTACGGGCACAAAAGCCAGGCATGTCATGGGATGAGCTTACACAGGCATTGGTGGCTCGTTTTGACTCACGATTTAAGGGAAATTGCTTTGAACGGTTGTCCGTAGTCAAGCAGACAGGGACTGTGGAGGAGCCCATCTCAATTTTTGCTCAACTAGCAAGTCAGGTCCCAGGGTTATCTGACGATCATTATCTGGGGTATTTCCTGAATGGGCTGAAAGGGCCGATTCGGAGATCCTTACGGTTGCTGCGGCCAAACAGTCTGGAGATAGCAATGGAATTGGCCAGAGATATTGAGGACAATCTGTACTTTCAGAGTGGTGGCAGCATGAAGGGATCGAGTGGCAACTTTCCTAAAGATATTGGGCAGCCGCCAGCCCCCGGGGACAAATGTGAGCCAGCTTTCGGATTTCAACCTTGAGGACAAGGTTGTTTCGAAGGGGATGGAATTGATATAAAGCAGAAGCTGGGACAGAAGCCCCCATGGGTTTACTTGGGGCGGGCTTGAGCCCACCTTCGTGGGCTGGTTGTGGGCTGGAGCTATTTTGGTTTGGAGTCTTAGTTTTAATTATTATTATAAAGTTTATGTTATGTTTTCTAGTTTGGGCCAATTATTAGTAGAGTTCATTTGGGCCTAATTAGGATTTACTTAATTTGGGCTCGATTAAGGTTCATTCTTGCTTATCTATGAATAAAATTGGAGTTTAGCCTTTTGGCTCTAGGCAACGATGTCTATCGTTGATTATTCTGGGCAACGGATTATTCTGTTGATTTTTAATTTTTGTTCTCATCATCTAGTCAAATTTTTCCTGATCTGAAATACGGAGTACATTATAAATCATACATAAAAAATGAGTCATTACTAAATGCCATAACCAGTTAACCACTATCATATGTTTAGCTATTTATGCAAAAGCTTTAAAGAACTATTACCATACATAAAATTAGAAGTTGTTCAAATGAGAAAAACATAGAAGAAATGGTTGGGGATATTGATATTCTAGGTTACTGGAAGGAAAAGGAAAAATCAATGTTGTTATTTTACTTATGTTGCTATTGCTAGAATAAAAAGGAGAATCGTAGCTGTAACCAATAACCATTGACTTCATTGAGCATTGCAATGAAGAGAATAGTGATAGAAGCACTGCTACTTTGGAAGAAATGTTCAAGAGATAAGTGATCGTAGCGCTGCTACTTTGGAAGAAATGTTCAAGAGAATAGTGATCGTAGCGCTGCTACTTTGGAAGAAATGTTCTGATGCAGGACTGAAGAGTAGTTTGTGAGTTACGTGAAATAATGAACTTTATAAGTAGAGCTTGTGAAGATTATTGTAGATTTCCACAAATAGGTTTTAGGGATTTAAGAAAAACTGACTAAATTTATCAAAAGAGAAGCATACAATTGCACATATATGATATATCATTCATTTTCATTTTCATTTACCCCAGTGCCGCAAAGGCTCCCCACCTACGGTGGGGTAAGGGAGGGTCGGATGTACGCAGTCTTACCCATGTACTAAAGCACAGAGAGACTGTTTCCGGATGACCCATAGTGAAAATCTCGTCCAAAATTGCATGGACTGACAGCTGCTTCATAACAAAGAAGCGCAGACAGTTTAGTAAGCCATTTTGCTTTATTCCATCATAATTTCAAGCCAAAAAATAATGAATATTTGGCTCCATTGCAAATAATGGAAAAAGCACATATATGATATATGTAGATTGTAAATTTACCAAAGAACAAAGAAAGGGTAGACAATGTAGAACAAATAAAAGATTTTATCAAAGAACCTGACTACAATAGCCTCCAAATTCTCATCAATGATTGAAGGACCATAAGGGTCAACAATTGGTTCGACTTGTACAACCAGCTCAGGCTTAATGCTCTGGACAAAAAAAAATGTGTGAAGGAACAAAAAGAACCACGTCATAAAACAGTTTCTAATTGACGATAAAGATAAAAGCGCATTGCTAACCCATGTTTTTGTCTTGTAAGCATTATCTGCTGACTTTTTTATCAAACACATAACTTTTATTTCACGTGTTGAATTATGCAATAGTCAAAATATGGTGAAGATGACTATTTTAGCTAATTGTTCGTATAATTTATTCTTTATTTTATTAATTAAATATAATTTTTTCACAATTCAGTAAATTCAGTCAAATCAACCGCTTAGACGGAATTTCACAAAGTTCATCATATTGAACCACTTTAGCCAATTTTGGTGTTTCCAAAGGACTCTGAGTGACATTGCATCATCATTCTAAATATTAATGTAGAGTTCTAGTACCTTAATGTAGTCCTCAACATTTTGAATTCGTAATTGAATCGACTCAATTAGATCAGCGTACTGCACAAAAAAAAGCAGTTACACATGTCATTGCATTGATATATCTCCAATACAGTGAATAGAAAACATCAAAATACTGCACTCAGAGTCTATACAAAGGCAGATTTTTTATTACAAAAATGCCAGTAAATAAGTACTATCATTTACTTAGCACTTCATTTCCACTATAAATTACAAGTGATAATCGCTAAAAGTTTCTGTTTAAAAGTTTTTTTGTCTTTAAGCTCCTTTTCCTCCTACATCCTTAAAAAAAATATCCCATCAACCCAAAGTGTTGAAAATCAGATACGTGCAAGATTTCACTCACTTATCCATTATCAAATAAAGGGATCACCTTTTGAAGGGTTTCCCTATCCAAAATATGTACACAATTTAAAAAAGTTAAGGGGCTAAAAATGTATAAAAACTGGAGAAGCATGAACTTTGAAATGTAGGTAATTTTTCTAACCAGCGGTTGATACATTCAAAAAAGTCTAAGAAGTCAAGAACATATAAGAGCAGGAGTATGCGCCAAACAAAAGGTTAAAAGAAGCATAAAGCTGAGATCTTTATTGGCATTTCACAACACAACTTATCGAG